ACAGGCTAACTGATAATTAGAAGCTTAACATTGATCAGCAAGGGAGGAGTACACAGCAATCAGAAGTCTACGGGAAACAATTGAAATGGTAGAAACTACAGTGAATAACAGAACACACAGCTTGTATAACAGCGAGTACGAGGAGAAGAACTGCTGCAATAAGAGGTATTATGGCCCATGGAGTACTGAAATAATCTTGTTTCAAGATTTCCTTCCATTTATTCCAAGGTCTCTTGCAGTATGCATTCAGATCTTAAACGAGGCCAGCAAAGATGAAATTGATCTGAGGGAGATCATTTAGCTTGGAAATATCGTGAAGAACGGTTGACACAGCTTCATTGTCATGTATCCAGTTTTCTAGGATTCTATTTTCTACAGGGATTTCCACATCCTTACGAGAAATGACGAGGAAATTAATCATCGAAATATAGTCACCTATATGATCTTGGTCCAGACTATCACATTGCTCAAATGCCTGGAGATTCCTGAGGCAGATCTCTGTACTATCTTGTACTCTTAATAGCTCTGTCACACTTGGTATGTTTGTAGACTCTAGTGGTTCTGGTGTGTTCGGCTCTGATGGCTTCATGAGAATTTGAGTACGATCATGCATTTTAATGTTTAAAAATTTACTGAAATAATATTTTTTTAAATTTATTTTTAATATTAATATCATTAAATAATCTAAAAATATAAAAAATAATTTTTTTAAATCACAAAAACAAATCTCCTATAACTTTTGCATTTGGTTATGTTTCACGAGAATTCTTGTGTACTTAATATTCCAACTGGTCAACAAATTGGTATTGTTCCATGTGGGCCATTCCATGCATGCCCGGAAGAGTAGAGAATCCATTCCCTTTATCCATGACAGCGGAGATAAAAAAAAAAATATAATCCTTTCATTATTGCTAAAGGTAAGACCAAGGTTGTTAATTCCAAATTCCATTTTATTTTATCTCAAATGGTTGAAATATTTTATATTAATTTAAAAAATAAAATAAAATAGAATAAGTTTTACTTCATTTTAATTTTCAATCCGTTCCTGATTTTTCAACTAAATTTTAGCTGAAATATTTTGATTTTATTTTATATATTTCGTTATGGTCTTGAAAAGTCATTGAATTAATTAAAACTCAATTTAATTTAATTAATTAAACCATTCAAGTGTAAAAAATTCTTTTTTATTACTATTTTCAATAACAATGATATTAATAATAATATTAAAAATTATTATTAATTTTTTAAAATTAGATTTATCATTAATATATATGATTTATATTTATATTTTTTTTCATGTTTATACTTTATAGGAATTTGATAAAAATAAAGAATGCTTTAGATCTCATTAACATTGATAAAATTGACATGTTGAATGAATAAATTTGTGAAGAATCTAGTCTTTTTGTTAAAGATAATATAAGTTAGGAAATTATTCAAACACATTTGTCTACTTTGATTTTAAAGGCTGAATAAATATGTTTTAAAAATAAGAATGAACTTGGTGGAAATGATCAATTATTAGAATGTTTAGTTAATGACTTTCCCCACGTATCACCACAAGATTGAAATCTTTATTTTTATATTAATGATGGAGATGATGTTTGATTTGTATTTTTTTTTAAGACATTTTACTTTTATAATATTGTAATATTTTATTTAATTTGAATTATTTTAAATTAAAAATATATTTAATCTTAACTATTTAGAAATATTTTAAATTTTAAAATTATATCTGTGTGATATTATGTTTGTATTGCATAATTTATAATTAATTTTTCTTGAATCTTGAATTTGAATTATGTTTGTTCAATATATATATAGTACAACCCCGAAACAATACGGTAAAACACTTTGAATTTAAAATATTTTATAATAAAATTAAAAAAAAATACCTAATGAAATGAAATTAACAACTTGAATAAAAATGCTCATTAATTAATCCTGTACACACACTTGCATGCTTTAGTTCCCAGGTAGCAATTTGTGATGTATTTTGCTGCGGCCCGAATTATTTTTTCAGTTAAAAACAAATAAATATATAAGTCTTTTAAATATTTTTTTTTAATTTCAATTATAAATAAAAGGGAATCTATGAATGCATTTAATTAAAGACATCAAGAACAATCCTCGCCAATAAATATAAAAAATAAAATATTAACTTGATTATTCAACTTGTATTGTTGCATATCAAAAATGTTTTTTTTATATAATAGAATTAATATATATTTGTTATTATTTTATTTTTTAACATTGAGTAAAAAATATAATCATGAATCAAAAACTTGATACTTGCATTGCATATAATAAATTATAGTAAAGATTATATATATTAATAAAAAACCATATAAGATGTAATGCTAATTTTTAACTTAACAAAAGAATTGAACAATGTTGATATTATTATAGTGAAATGTCATTTTATTAGTCTTTGTATAACAATTTAAAAACAAAGTGTGTAAAGAAAAAAATTACAAAACAAATTACAAAAGAATAAAGATAAAAACAAAATGAATGATATAAATATGCTAAATGTAAAGTAATAAATATTCAAAGTGTAAAAAATAAAAAAAATATTTTTTTAAAAAAAAAGTGTAAAGAAAAAAAAGAAAAACTAAAAAATATATAAAAAATAAAGATAAAAAAATGATAAATAGGCCAAATGTAAAATAATAAAAATTCCAAGTATAAAAATAATGATAAATTGTTTTCTAAGAAATAAAAATTACAATTTTACCACTGCTAGAACAAAAAAAACTTTTTTGACAATATGAAAACGCTATATCTATAATATAATTTTCTCTTCAAACTATTGTGGGTTGGTGTCCGAAATTTGCAAAATTCTCCTCCAGCATCTTCTACACCTTGAAGATAGAGCTTGGACTTCATAAACTGCTGCGCCATGAATCTTGTCCATTCCCAAATTTAGGCTACACAGCATGATACATAAAGAATTAGATTTACATGTAGTTTTGTATGAAGAATCATATGCTTTGAATGATTAAAACGAGTAATTAATTTGTTTATAAATAAGTGTAGAATGATATAAATATGCTAAGTGTAGAGTGATAAATATTTAAAGTGTAAAAAATAAAAAAATAATTTTTTTTTTAAAAAATGTAAAGAAAAAAAAAAGAAAAACTAGAAAATATTAAAAAAATAAAGATAAGAAAAAACATTCTTCGACTTTGCCCCCTTTTAGCCCAGAGTTCATTGGCCCAACTAAAATTTGTTTCGGGGAGGAATCGAACTGCTAAATAATCTAAGGCCCAACCCATCCTTTGAGGTCTCATTTTGGGGTAAAGGAATTGTAGCCACGTGCTGTTTTCTTCGACTTCACTCCACCGAAGTTAGTGATAACATGATGTATTATATTATATTTATTATTAAAAAACAAAAACTACAACCATTGTTTTACTGTTCATCAAACTAATATAGATTGGAACAATAAAATTATTTTTTTACTCTTCTCAAGAAAACCAAGCAGCATTTGTTCTAGGGCAGAAGGAAATTTTCATAAGGGTTGGTTCATTAATTCCCGATTAATCAGGTTCAAAATGATGTTATCTTATTTTTTAAAATAATAAAATCACTTGATTGTCTTTAAAATTGAAATAAATATTAAACTTGTACTAAAGGTTTTTTATTTTATTTTTTTATATTTTTAGCACAATAAAATTACATTTAAAAGCAAAATTTATTAAACTTGCTTCCAAGTGTATTTTTATAAATTAAACCTAGTTTTTTTGGTTATATTTAGGTTGATTTCGGATTAATTAGATAATTTCATAAATATTATAAAATATTGGATGATGTTTGCATATGGAACTCCTCCAGAGCTTTGGGCGATACATAAGGTGCCTTCCAATGGTGGACACGAGCTTCGACGATGATGTAGGAAGAGCAGCGATGCTTCTTCTATATAAAGTTATGGTTTAGCTATTAAATTAAGAGTTTAAAAAGTTAAATGAAGTTGATATTATTTTTTTATATTTATTTTTTTTTAATTTTATTTATTTTAAAAAATAATTTTTTTTAATTATATTATTATAATCTCATTATTTGAAAAGTAAATTTGGCTGGGTAACTCTGATATTTTTAAAGAGTTATTTTTTTATATATTTTTTTTAATTTTATTTTTTAAAATTAAATTTATTTTAAAATCATTATTTTTCTTGTGAGTTTTGGTAGCCTTACGAAAGGTTTATAGGTGTTTTAATTTTATAAGTTTTTTTTTGTCAATTGATTTTTTTTATTTTATGTTTTTATATTTGAATTGTTAGGAATTGACCATTTTTTTTCCAATTTACTTTCTCTAAAGTAGGCTTAGCCTCACAATTTAGTTTACAAGTTTATTATCCTAGCTCAAGTTGATTCAATATGTTTTATTTTAATTTTATTTTTTAATATTAAGTTATTTTGTGATTTAGCTTTCTAAGTTTTTTTTTTTTAACAAATTCTTTTTTTCTTCTGATTATAATTATTATCTTTTTTTTTTAAATTTTTTTTTTTCCATTTAACAATTATATTTATGACTTGAATCATGATTTATTTTTTCCTTTAAAATATAGTAGTAACTCTTTAGCATTATTTTTTTAACTTAAAAATAAAAATCGGCCTGGCCCTCGGTGAAATATAGGCAGGCCTATCTATTTCGATTTCAAATAGGGCTCAGGCAAGGGATATATTAATTTATAGGTAAATAGCTACTCTACCCTTTGAATAATGTTAAGTTTTAATCATAGTTATTAAACTTGATTAAATTCAACAAATTAATTTAAAAAACTTGTGATTTAAAACTAAATTAAAATTCAATTTTAAATTAAATTGAAAAAAATATTAATTTAAAGAAATTTAGTTAAACTCAATATAAATTTTAATAATTTAGTTGATTTAGATCAAACTAAATGAAATCAGTATTAAAAAAAATAAAATAATATTATTTTAATAAAAATATTGACCCGATGCAAATCCTTTTTTGAATCGGTACTTGAATCAAATACAACAACACAACTATGATTGTAGTGACTAATTGATGCAATATTCACTTCACCAATATTTACATTACATTTCATAATCCTTATTTGACTACTTGATACACACACTTGCTAGCTAGGAGAAAACAACACTGAATTTCCATGTTTATTCTACATTATATATAGCTTTCTACAGGAAATGAAACAACTGAAATGGTAGAATCTAAACGAGCTGAATAATGGAACACACCGCCTGGATGATGGTAAGTAGGAGGAGAAAAGCAGCAGCAATAACAGAGAATATGGACCATGGATTTTGGAAATAATTTTGTCTCAAGTTTGCTCTCCATTTCGGCCAATCTCTTCCGTAGTACTTATTCAAATCATCCAGGACATCAGAGAAGTAGAAATTCTTTGAGGAGATCATATTTTCTCTGGAAAGATTGTAAAAAAGAGTAGACACTGCTTCATTATTTGACAACAAATTTTCTATAATTCCATACCGAACAAGAATTTCAACATCCTCAGGAGAATCAACAAGCAAATCCATCATGTAAATATAGTTACCTACATAATTGTCACCGCAATGGCATTGCTCAAAGGCTTGAAGATTTCTCAATAAGATTTCCGTATCATCTGATATTCTGAACGGTGGGATTTTCAGAAACGCTTTATCAAATTCTATGTGAAGCAATTTTTGGTCCAAGCCTGACTGAAATTTGACCCCAGCTTGATGTAGCGTCTTCGCAGTTTTTGTGGATAGGCGTTTGAGTATCTTTAGCCGGCGTGGCCTTGTTGGTTGCTGATAAATTCTCAGGAAGTCAACAAAATGTTCTATTTCAGAAGAACTGTTTATCTCCATACAAACATCTGTGACCCATGAGTCCCACACAGTTTTTAAGAATTCATGGACAAGTATAATTAATTTACTTTCCTTGTAAGGGAAGAATATCTTGGATAGCTTAAGCATGTCCTGGAGAATGAAGAATGGGATCTGGTTTTCAAGCAAGCACAGGTCAATCCCTACCTCACGTATCTTCCATGGACAAGAGAAGATACGGTCGTTTCTGCCTCGGTAGGCATGGAAGAGTTGTTTCAGTATGACCATAATTACGAAGGCAGCATCTACTAAGATCATTTTCACAAATTCTTCACTGATAATATCTTCAAAGGTTTCGGCATAACAATTACGCAATGTTGCTTCACGGCCGCCTATTAGTTCGATAAAGTCCTCCAAGCTTGCATTGCTCCATTTAAGAAAATCCTGCAGGTACATTCTTTTATGTTCATCCATTTCTTGCAGCTCCTTGTTGTCACGATGAAATGGACCAATGCAGACTACTTGAGGTGTGTAGGCCTTGTCGTTTAACACTCGCAGTCGCTTTGGAACTTTATAGATACAACACTCGTCCGATAAAGGGTTTGGACCTAAGGTTTCCAAAGCCTTTCTCACATCTGCTGCTACCGTGCCAATATTTAGAGAAAGATGATCTCCTTTATTATTTTTCTCGCTTGATTCTTCGCCAGTCTTCATCCTGTGAATGAACTGGGATAATTTCTATCCGTCAGACTCAACAAATTATTTGATGATACTGATACTGATACTGATACTGAAACAAATACAAAACAAATGTAAAGAACATATGAAAACTCCATGGATTCTCACAGAAAAGAGTCTCAAATAACTATATAAAGCAGGAAATCTTGTTGAACTTTCCCTTCGAACCATAGTTATCATACCCGGCTAAAGACCCTAGTAACGGGGCGGTTAATTTCAAAACGATATGCTTTTAGTGGTTTTTTTAAAACGAAACAACGAGATAATTTTTTATAAAAAATTCCTTGGAAATAACTAGATCAAATCTCACTCAAGTTTGATATGATTAAACAGGTTAAAGGTTGACTAATTGGTTTAAAAAGAAGGCCAGGCCAAACTAGCAGCCAGAATGGGTTTAACAACTACACCTCAATCCATGCCTCATCGCTGCAAGGAACAGGAAGACAGCAAGATAAACATATGGCTTTTCTAAATTAGGACTTACTTTGATTGGCTTCAAAATCCTCGCTCTAAGTTTCTCAAAGAACCTCTGCTGCAAAATACAGTACGCTATCTTATCTGCAAGCGAACTTGCGTAGTTTTCATATGCACTCTTTCTTACTAACCAGAAAAACGAACTCGGAGTTTTTACAGTTTCATTTTCTACAGAACTTTCTTTTGCTTCTATAATTCTGAAACTTTTCTAACCTTGTGTTCTGCCCGTTTCCGTGTCTAAAAATATTTACACTCTAGTTTTAAGTTCTCTTCATATAAAGCAGTGTTTTAAAACCCGGCGGTGGACCCGGGTTGATGAAAAAATAGGATGAGTCATGACCCGGCGTAACCTAGTGACTTGACAGACCCAGCAAAACTTAATCAAAAATCTAGTTACAATACGTTGACTTTTATTTATTTTTTTACTAAAATCACGCTGTTTTGAATTTTTTTTAAAATAGAAATTGACCCGATCAACCTGGATAACCCGGTTAAAACCCGGTAACCCGGTTAAAACCTGGAACCCGAGCCTTAGACCGGTTAAAAGGCATTTAATTTTTTTGACCAGATATCCATGGCTGGAACCGACCCCACTTTAGTCTTATTGCTGATTTTTACGCAACAAGACAACAGCTGGAACCGACCCCTCTTATTAAAGCTGACTTGGGGTCCAGCTGGAATAGTATAAATTGACGAAGACTTTGTGTAGAACAAGAAGTGATGGTGAATTTTTAATAATTCAGATTCGGTTCCTTCCAAATATTTTGATGACATCCTACTTGTCAGCTATGGAACACGAAAACACACACACACACACACAATACATACATACATACATACATACATACATACATATATACATATATATATATATATAGATGGGAGATCAATTCGTAAAATACTGGCACCCTACTCACAAGCTAAAAAACAAAATACAATATGAACATAAATTAACTATCTTTTCTTAGCATGGGGTAATTAACTAAAAAACTAAATAGGACCGAAAAGACTTTGCTGCTCAATGATCGACAGCTAATAGAGAAAACAATAAACCACATTGAAAACTAAAAAGGAGCAACGAATCACACATCGATTCTGCAATCCTTCAAATTTAAATCCAACATCAACAAAACAGATAAAAACAACCCCAAAGGTCTTCAAATTGTATTCCTAAACTCCCTAACATTATTCCTCATTCAAATCATACAAATCCATTTTATTATTTTCCCAGAACTGTAATCATGTTTCTATTCATCACAATTAATCCTTAAAAGGGGTTTTAAGAGAATTCTTACTTTCAAATCCTATCACAGCTTCAAATTAAACTCACACACCCACCGGATACTAATACATAATAACAAAGAAGGAGGAAGGAAAAATATTTGTAATTTTTATCTGTCTACTACTGTTATTGTTTTTACAAATAAAAAGACTTTGTGCCAAACCCAAGGTCATGTGGCCCGGGATTTGAGCTGCCATTTCCATCCTAACAGACAACGACAGCTGGAACAGACCCCACTTATTGTTTGTGGTACAGCTGGAAGATTCAAGAAGTGGACGAAGACTTTTAGAAATTAATTCATTCACTTTTATAGTCAAGATTTTATTAAAAATTATTTTTAAAATTTTCTTTTTAACGTGATTAAAATAAAGGTAACGTTCTAATTCATTAATCATACGAACCTCCCACTGCATAAACCTTGCCATGTTCTCCAGCTCGTTAATTTTAACAGATAGAGCCACCAAAGCATACCCTCAAGACATTGCAAGGTTAGACAGTAGAAAGCAGAGAAATTAACATGAGGTTTATCAAGTGAAACTTTTAGTAGGAGGGAGACGAAAGAAAGACAATTAAATTTCTCTCTTTGTTGGTAGGAGAGAACTGCCGCACCACGCCGCAAGCTGGTTAATGCATGGGCAGTGAGTTCCCCTTTGGCTCGGCAGGAAAAGTTTTGAAAGAAAAGGATAGTGCAAATTGTCAATCGTTGATGCAAAGTCTAAGCTAGTCAAGTTTGTTTCAAATAAAATGCAACGGCTTATTGGCGTTGAAATCCAGTAGTGAGCAAATAAAAGTCTGAAGCTAACGATAGAGCATCAACAGGATTCAATTCACATTAGGGTCATTTATGGCAATGGCAAAGTTTGAGTTTCACGAACCATAAAATAATAATAATAATAATAATAATAATAATCAAAGTAACAATCCCAACTACCACTAATTAAGTCTAGGCGTTGACTGGCATTGTTTTCTTAAAACAGAAGCATCCAAAAGGAGAACATGAGAGGTTTTTTTCAGATTGTGTTAGTAATAGCTCGCTGTTACCTTGATTCATTAATTTCATGAGTTTTAAAATTAATTCTTATATAAATTTTTAATAATTTTAAAATTTATAAAATTTAAATTAATAATTTTTAAAAAACAAAATTATGATATAAAAATTAAATATAAAATAATATAAATATATATAAGTTTTAAATTTAAAGAGTTATTACTTGAATAAATATTTTAAAAAATAATATACATCATAACTTGAAATTTAATCTAATAATTATAAATTAGGACTTACTTTGATTGGCTGCAAAATCCTCGCTCTAAGTTCCTCAAAGAACCTCTGCAGCAAAATAATTCTGAAACTTGTAATCTTGCTTAGTTTTCATATGCACTCTTTCTTACTAAACGGAAAACGAACTCGGAGATTTTACAGTTTCATTTTCTACATAACTTTCTTTTGCTTCTATAATTCTGAAACTTTTCTTACCGCCTGTTCCTGTGTCTAAAAATATTTACACTCTAGTTTTAAGTTCTCTTCATTTATAAGCATCTCATTTTGTGACAAAATATTCATGGTTGGAACAGGTTTTATTTAGAGGATATTTAAGAGGGTTGTAGCGGTTATTTTGTTATTTTTTAAAGTGATTTTTATTAAAAAAAATACATCAAGATAATATTTATTTAATTTTTAAAAATTATTTTTAATATCCGTAAATTAAAATAATTTAAAAATATAAAAAAATAAACCCAAAAAAACAATTTTGAAGTTTTATAAAATGCGGTCCATACAGTGCTTAGTATTGTTGATTTTTACTAAACAAGTGAACAGCTGGAACCGGCCCCACTTAATACTGTTGAATTGGAGTCCAGCCGTAAGAGTCTAAATTGACGAAGACTTTGTGTAGAATAAGAAGAGATGGTGAATTGCAGGAACAAAACAGTCAAGAAAATTCTGATCAGAAACACTCAAGTCCACTCAGAGTTTTTTCTATGTAGGCTTTGTAGCAAATCTAAGTATGTAAGCTGTAATTTAGAGAAGCTATGTACGTTGAAATAATTCAGATTCGATTCCTTCCAGATATTTTTTGTCATTTTGTGTGATATTTTCATTTCCTTTTTACATTTGTGTTGGAATTTGGTTACGCATCCGTATTAATAAATGATTTGGTAATTTTGACAGGAGAGATCACTCCATGAGTCACAGGACGGAGATTGCTGGTTATCATGGGTGCACAGGACAATTTGGAGAAAATCAAATTCTGTGAGGCAGAGCATTTTGTTGCTTTTCTGAGAATCTGTCAGCAACCAACAGAGCAAAAACAGCAAATAAAAAAGGAAATCGATACTCTAAGCATACCCAGTGCAATGGATCTCCATCAAGCTGGAGTCAGGTTTATGTTGGGGTCCAGCAAAAAACTACTCGACATAAAGGGGCACTGGTAATTCCATTTTTAAAGATTGAGGATGACACAGAAACGTTATTCAGGAATGTCCAAGCCTTTGAGCAATGCCATTTCGGTTCTGGTTTTATTGGTAACTATATCACGACGATCAATTTGGTTGTTCATGCTTCCAATGACTTAGAGATACTCGCAAGAAAAGGAATTATAGAGAATTGGCTACGTGATAACGATGCCCTCTTAAGACTTCTCCACAATCTTTCCAAAGAAAATATTGTCAGCCACGATTTCTAGTTTTCTGATGTCGTTGAACATCTGGATAAGTATTACAAAAGGCGTAGGCACAAATGGAAGGCAGCTCTGAAACAGAAGTATTTCGACAATCCGTGGACCATAATCTCTTTTAGTGCGGCTGGAATTCTCCTCCTACTTACTGTCATACAAACAGTGTGTTCTATCATTCAAGTTGTTTAGATTCTGCCATTTCAATTGTTCTTTTGTTTCTTTTTTTCTGTAAATAAACAGTGTGCTCTGTGATTTCCACTTCTGAAATTGCAATGTATTTCCTTCAGTAACTAATCCATGTTGGTTTCTTCCACTTCTTGTTTATCCTTCAGTAACATATTAGAACAAAAAAATGTAATAATTTGGAACATGATCGACATAAAAAATTCTAGTTTATTGGAGAAAAGATCACATACCAGTCTGAACACTCCTTCAAGCAAAGTGAATATAAGGAATCCTTGTTCAGTGGAGAAAGATCCTATACCATTGTTAAACACTGGTTTGAGCAACTCAATGGCCTGTTATGCATCACCAGATTGGTAGCTGAAATTAGTCTGTGCAGCCTATACAATATTGATGGTAAATGCAATGAGTGGCAGCCAATATCCACCAAGTTGCGACCCTGTGCTATTAAGAATACTGGTTTGGAAGCTCTACTTGCAGACTACCAAGAGATTTTTGAAGAACCTAAGCACTTACCACCTCCTCGCAACTATGATCACAAGATACCTTTGAAGAAGGGTTCTGATCCAGTAAACCCCAGGCCTTACATGCATCTGAGTTTACAAAAGAATATGGTGGAAAAGATGATTCAAGAGATGCTTGATTCGGGCACAATCCAACACAGCCATAGCCCTTTTGCTTCCCTAATAGTTCTAGTAAAAAAGAATGATGGAATCTTGGAGGCTATGCGTTGACTACAGGGCATTAAACAAACTTACAGTAAAGGATAAATTCCATATTACTCTAATAAACGAGCTCTTGAAAGAGTTGGTTGGGCCACTATTTTTTCTAAAATAGATATCAGATCGGGTTACCATCAGATCAGAATGTCTCCTGAGAATATTTACAAGACAGCATTTAAATTGCATTATGGGCACTATAAATTCCTGGTCATGCTCTTTGGTTTGACTAATACCCCTGCCACATTTCAAAGTCTGATGAACGAGATCTTTCGGAGTTACTTACAAAAGTTTACCCTTGTATTCTTTGATGACATCCTCATTTATAGCAACACCCTCTCAGACCACTTAGGCCATTTGAAGATTGTGTTTGAGATTTTAAGTTTAATAAGCTGTATGCCAAGGCCA